ACGGGATTTTTGCAATAATAGCCCGTGTACGTACTCGTCACCTCACGTACATGGCGCCCACACATCAATTAATATCAAACATCTTAAAGGAAAGTCCCCAACATAAAGTTAGGCAAGCCACTTACCTCGAACCACTCAAATCACCTCGATAACACGTTCTTGCCACGAGTATCCGACTCCAAATGGCCTGAATCTATTCAAATAAATTGTATAATGTAAATATAACTACAAATAACTAATTTAGCTAATTAATTCGAAGCTAAAGCGTGAAATTAGGAAAAATGCCCAAAAAGGTCTCCCCGGGCCCACGTCTCGGAACCGGATAAAAATTACAAATTTTGAATACCCATTCACTCACAAGTCTAACCATATCATATTTACTAAAATCCGACACCAAATGGTCCTCCAAATCCACAAATCAAACTTCCAAATCCCTAGCCTTCAACTTCCAATTTCCACCTTAAATACACACTTACTAGGTGGGAAAATACATGGCAAAGCAAGATTATTGATAAAAAATAAGCACAAGGGACTTGCCTCAAGAAATTCCTCGAATATGCTCTCAAACATCGCCCTAAACCGAGTTTGCAAAGTCAAAACTATGACAAAAATCGCGAAGCCCTTCGGTTTTAACCACTGCCCAGGTATTTCCGCACCTGTGAAACTTGGGCTCGCACCTGCGGGTGCGCTTGTGCGGAAAAAGTGCGCATCTGCACAATTCACTTGCCCACCTCTACCTTTGCACCTGCGATGAAAGGGCCGCACATGCGCGTGCGTGCCTACGGAAATCCCCGCCGCTTCTGCGTAACTTGCGCACTTGCGAACAGTCGTGCGTATTTGCGGGCATCGCAGATGTGGCCTTTTCCCATACACCTGCGACACTTGACCAATCCACCCAACTCCGCTTCTGCGCGGATCTTCTCGCACCTGCGGGCAGCCTTGCGCAGGTGCGATTACAACAGAACCACCAAATATTTCCTAAGTCCAAATTCATTCCGTTAAGCATCCGAAACACACCAGAGGCCCTCGGGACCTCAACCAAACATACCAACCAATCCTAAAACACCATACGAACTTAGTCGAGCCTTCAAACAATGTCGAACAATACCAAAATCATGAATTAAACACAGATTCAAGCCTAAGAATTTAAAAGTTTCTACAAACGACGCCAAACCACATCAAATCTAGTTCGAATGACCTTAAATTTTACACACAGGTCACAAATGACATTACAAACCTATAGCCACTTTCGGAATTCCATTTCGAGCTCGATATCAAAATTTCCACTATCGGTCAAAATCGCCGAAAAACTAACCTTCGCCAATTCAAGCCTAAATCTACTACAGACCTCCAAAACAAATTCCGAACGTGCTCCTAACCCCAAAATCACTCGACGAAGCTAACGGAGTTGACGGAATTCCATTCCGGATCCTTCTTCACACAATTCCGACTACGGTCTAAATTCTAAGGCTAAAACTCACAACTAGGGACTAAGTGTCCCAAAACTCCCCGAATTCCATAACCAAACACTCCGGCAAATCCCAAAAGCAGAAACAAATATGGGGAAAGAAGATATTATGTATCGGGGCTCAAATTCTCAAAACGACCGATCGGGTCGTTACAAGAAATCCTCAAAATCTCCCTCGAACCGAGCTCCAAAAATTCCAATCAAAAATGACGAAATGGCCATTTTTGGCCCTTATTTTTCTGCCCAGTTCCGCTTCTGCGGACAAGTTTGCGCATTTACGACATCGCTTCTGCTACGCCCCTGTCGCTTCTACGAAGTCCACTGCCCAGATATTCCATCGCACCTGCGGCAAAATGCCCGCTTCTACGAAAACGCAGGTGCGAGCAGTCCATCGCTTCTGCGCTTGCTTCGCTTCTACGAAGCAAATTTCCACTTTTACGAGGCAGCTGAAGCGTGCCATTTTCTGCTTTTGCGAAGCCCCTCCACCCCATCCATCCTCGCTTCTGCGATGTCGCTTATGCGATCAACCCACCACAGAAGCAATTGCACCAGCAATCAAAATTCCAGCAGCACCAACTAAGGCTCAAACGATCCGAACCCTGTCCAAAAGTCATCCGAGCCAGCCGGAACCTCGTCTGAATATACCAATAAGTCCTGTAACATACCAGTGACCTACTCGGGGTTTCAAATTACATCAAACAATGTCAAAATTATGAATCGCGCCTCAACTCGAATTATGAGTTTTCAAGTCTTCCAACTTCTATAATTTGCGCGGAAATGTATCAAATCAATCCGGAATGACTTCAAATTTTTCACACGAGTCATAAATGACATAATGGAGTTGTTCCAATTTACGGAAAGGAAATCTGAACCCGTTATCGACAAAATCAACCTTCGATCAAACTAATAAATATTTTAAAACTTCAACTTTTTCCAATTTCGCCAAAATGCGCCGAATTGACCTACGGACTTTCAAATCCCAATCGGGACATATGCCTAAGTTTGAAATCACTATATGAAACTATTGAAATTGTTAAAAATCCATTCCAGAGTCGTTTACACAAAAGTCAAATTCTGGTCAACTCTTTCACTTAAGCATCAAAAATAAGAATTGTTCTTTCAATTTAACCATGAATCATTCGAAAACCAAACTCGACCACATACGCAGGTCATATTACATGTTACGAAGCTGATCGAGACCTTAAGCCTCCTAACGGGACACTAATTCTCAAAAAGACAAGTCGGGTCGTTACACTTTCGAACCTAAATCTGATATTAATGCTGCTTATGATGGACTGCATAAAGTCCCAGCTGAAAATGTAAGAGGTGAGCAAGCAGCTGTTGAAAGCCAAGTTCAAGTAGTCGAGCAAGTTCATGGTGTAGAAGGGCAAGTTGAAGCAGAAGGTTCTAGTATTGATAGACTAAGCAAAGTTGCTGGATATGATGAACATTTATCAACCGATAATGTAGGAAGCAAGAAAGGTGCAGAGATTTACAGACTAGTTAAAGACGGATGCCGGAGAATATGATTCCAACCTATTTAGATTATCTGGAATTGATATTCCAAAGTCATTCTTTACCGAGCTTGTGGACCCTAACTCTGATATTGCGGATGATGTAAGTTATTAAGTTTGTTTTTGAATTGGTTTTGAACTGTATTTCCTAAAACTTCAGCCGTATGTTTGTTTTAAATTTTTTGTACTGTAATTTGGCAAACTTCAAACTTATGCATGTTTAAGTTTTTAGTTCATTTGCTAAAACTTCATATTAAAACATGCTGAAGTTTTGTCCTGCAGTCTGTAGTTTTGTAATGAGTATTTTTTCTAAACTTCGGACTTATACATGCTGAAGTTTTTTAGTTCATTCCCTCACACTTCATACTAAACATGCTGAAGTATTTGTCCTGCAGTCTCTAGTTTTGTAATGGATTTTTATCTATTCTTTAAATTAAAAATGTTGAAGTTTTTCAGTTCATTTCCTAACACTTCATACTAAACATGCTTAAGTTTTTGTCCTGCAGTTTGTAGTTTTGTATTGAGTTTTTTCTAAGCTTCATACTTATGCATGCTGAAGTTTTTTAGTCCATTTCATTACACTTCATACTAAACATGCTTAAGTTTTTATCCTCCAGTCTGTAGTTTTGTAATGATTGTTTTCTAAACTTCATACTTATGCATGCTAGAGTTTTTTAGTTCATTCCCTAATACTTAATACTAAACATGCTTAAGTTTTGTTCTATAGTCTGTAGTTTTATAATGAGTTTTTTTTCTAAGCTTCAGACTTATACATACTGAAGTTTTTTAGTTCATTCCCTATCACTTCATACTAAACATGCTGGAATTTTATTCTGCAGTCTCTAGTTTTATAATGAGTTTTTTTCTAAATTTCAAACTAAACATGCTGAAATTTTTTAGTTCATTTCCTAAACTTATTTTTTACTCTGAATTATATTGTGGTTAAATTAATATATTTTCTTTTTATGTTATTCATTTGCAGTATATTGAAGTGGTCGTATATTTCTTGCGCGAGCAATATTGTTATCACCTTCCAAGTTATCCAAAATCAAAATGTGCAGTAATAAATTTACTTTTTGATCAGTATATGACTAAGTTGGCTCGTGTTCATCCTTCAGATGAACAGAAGGAGAAAATTTGAATAAAGAAGGAAAAGAGGATGGAGGAGAAAAGAAAAATGGAAGAGAAAAAGAGCAAATCAAAGAGAAAGCGGGCTATCAAAAAATAGGTGATTGAGGAAGCTATGGACAGCGCCCTCGCCGATGTTCTAAAGAGGATGGAAGAAATGTATAATGAAAACAAAGCACTCAGGGATCAAATGAAAGAACACCAAGAACGAGTCGATAGGATACCTGGCGCTCCTAAGCTAATGCCAAAGAGGGATGCCGACAGGTTTGTAGGGCAGTCGTACAACGAAGAAGAAACCCCGCATGCCATACAAAAGACCTTCAAAATGCCGCCCTACCTCAGGATATATGATGGAACGACCGATCCCAAAGATCATGTGACTCGTTATGTAACCGCCGTGAAAGGAAGTGACCTCACCAAGGAACAAGTGTCCTCTATTTTGCTGAAGAAGTTTGGCGAAACCCTTATGGGAGGTCATTAACATGGTACTCACATCTACCAGCATGCTCCATAGAAACTTTCAAGGAAATGGCCGATAAGTTCATAACGGCGCATGCTGAAGCCAAGAAGGCCGAAACAAGAGTAAACGACATATTCGCCATCAAGCAGTCCTTGGGAGAGGGACTGAGGGACTTCCTCGCTCGATTCAACAGGATAAGGATAACCCTACCGAACGTTTCCGAGGGGATGGCGGTCGCGGCTTTTCAGAATGGTTTGAGTAGAAATCGTTTGAGGGCAACTATAAAACTGCTGAGCCGATTGATGAAATATCCTCCAACCATTTGGGACGAGATCCATAATGCTTACTGTGCCAAAGTCCGAGTAGATGGGGACGACCTCAATGGACCAACCCATCGGCTCATCTCGGTACAAGCCGAATCCAGAAAAGAATGAAGAGACAACATCAAGAGGGACCACCGGTATCACAAACCAACAGGGAACGACGCTTGCCATACGTCAGGGCCCCCGCCCCACCTTCCCTCCACTATGAAGAAGGCCCATCGAGGCCGAGGACAGGGACTCACCGTAATGAAAGAGGTATGCTCCCCTTATTATCCGCTCAGAATTTTTGTGTATCATCTACAAAAATAGTCTATGCTCTAGAGAAACTCGGAACAAAGGTGAAGTGGCCGCCAAATATAAGATCCGATTCGAGCACCGAAAAATCTGACGCCCTCTGCGAGTTCCACCAGGAATGCGGACACAAAATAGAAGATTGTATCGCCCTCAGGCAAGAAGTTATAAACATGCTGCGGCAGGGACACCTCAAAGAGCCGCTGAGTGACAAGGGAAGGAATAACTTTGCCAGAGGACGTGAACACCAAGGTCCACCGAAGCCGCCATCACCAGCTCGTACTATCAACATGATCATCGGTGACAAAGACATCGCCTCTATCAATGGCATTAAATTCACCACCACTCAAAAGCTCAAACAATCTATCACCCGCGAACGGTATGACGGACTCGAAGAAAGTATTACCTTCGATGAGTCAGATGCCGATGGTTTGACTTTCCCTTATAATGACGCTATCGTCATTACTTTGCGCATTTTAGATACTGATGTCAAACGTATCATGGTGGATGATGGAAGTGGAGCGTGCATTATCCATCCCCGAGTCCTCACCCAGATGAGACTCGAGGACAAGATAGTGTCGCGATGCATCACACTAACTGGTTTTAATAATGCAATTGAGCGGACATCGTGAGAAACTTCAGCATGTTTAGTCTAATATTTTTGCAAATGAATATAAAAACCCCAGCATGTGTAGTCTGAAGTTTAGGAAAAAACTCATTACACAACTACAAATTGTAGGACAAAACTTCAACATGTTTTAGTATGAAGTTTTAGCAAATGAACTAAAAAACCTTCAGCATGCATAAGTTTGAAGTTTTGCAAAAACTCATTAGAAAATTACAGACTGCATGACAAAACTTCAGCAAGTTTAGGCTAAAGTTTTAGCAAATGAACATAAAAACTTTAGCTTGTTTGGTCTGAAGTTTAGGAAAAAACTCATTACAAAATTACAGACTACAGGACAAAACTTCAGCATATTTAGTATGAAGCTTTAGCAAATGAACTAAATTACTTCAGCATGTTTTAGTATGATGTTTAGGAAAAAATCATTTACAAAATTACGTACTGTAGGACAAAATTTCAGCATTTTTAATTTGAAGTTTTATGTTATATATCTTTGAAACAACTTCATGCTACATTATCATGAGGTTTTTAGCTTTATATTTCATTGAAACTTTAGACTTCAACGTGAAACAACTTTGTGCTATATTAGCATGAAGTTTTAGTTTGTATTTGTTTGAAACTTTCAGACTTCAACGTGAAACAACTTCATGCTATATTAGCATGAAGTTTTAGCTTGTGTTTCATTGAAACTTCAGTTCAGCATGAAAAAACTTTATTCTATATCATTCATGCATTAAATTTGAAGTTTTGAAAAGTTTTTGAAGATCTATAAGTGAAAACTCCATGCTATATCCGTGAAACAACTTCATGCAATTGTGATTTGTAAATGACCATAAGTGAAAATATCTACAGGCATTAATTGAATTCAGATTTTGTTTTTTATGTTCAAAACTTAAAAAGCATGACGATTACGAAAATAATTGCAGAAATATATATCATGAAGCTCAATCAGTTTCACAAACTAATGCGAATTCTGAAGATGAATTGCAATACTTACAATGTATTTTGTAATTTTGAATTCTGAAGATGAATCTGGTTCAAGTTTCTATTTTTTTTATAAAGCTGCTAAGATGAGAGGAGATCTTCGACCAGGGTTGAAGGAGATCTTTTGACAAGGGACGGAGTGATGAAGGAGATCTTTTTCACGAATGAGGTTGCAGACCACGCGATTAATGCGTGATGTAGATTTTATATCTTTTATGAGAGGTATAATTGTCATATTAGTATGATTTTTTTGTCAACTGACTACCAAATTAATAATTTTTAAAAATAAGGTACATGTTAAAAGGTGGCACAAATATAGGGTACAACTATAAATTCCCCCGTTAACTTGGCGTAGAAAAATTTTAGTCTCTGAAATAAACACGATAAGTCTCTTTTACCTATTTGCAATATACTTCAAATACTAATAGTGATTAGAATTTAATCCAACATCAAATATATCTACTAGTTGAATCCTATAATTAGTTTACTAATTTAGCTCGTTTATTCCTATATCTTCCTTTTCATCATCCTATTTTCCCCTAAGTTTAGTTCTATAAAGTGCAACTTTTTTTTGGCTAGGGAGAAAGGTCAAATTTGTCCCTAATTATGCGAGAAGTTCAAATTCGCCCTCTACTTAAAATATTTAGGCGGAATACATATACAACTACTTTAACTTGCCCAATATTTTCATCTGGCTACCTAGACTAAGGCATGTACCTATTAAATATATTAAATAGCACAATAATGTGTCAATTTAACTTTTCCCGCTTACTTAGCACAAGACGTGAGTAGCAGCCAAACTGAGCACGTGACTTCTTCCATAGCCGCTGACATGGATTCGACAATGGTAAAAATTAAAATCCCCTCCCTTTATTAACTTATCCCAACAGAATCCCAAAGTTAATAAACCCTAAATCCTCTCATCTTCTCCCTTTCTTCTCCCATGGTAAATCTGCGACTAAACAGAAATAGAAGAATTCCAACTTCAATTTTTCCTCTTCTGGCTGTAACTTAAGATTTAAGTTTCTTCTCCTCACATCAAATCAAGCTTCAGTTTCTTCGTTTTCTTCTTCGCACTATATAATCTCTACCGAATATGGTGTACTTATGTCGATGTGGGCATGTTGCAAAGTTTCAAACTTCCTGGACTGATAAAAACCCAGGTCGCTTTCTAATGCTTCCATTTGGGAAAAGTAAGTATTTTTGTTAATCTTTTTTAAAATTTTTGGAATCTTCAATCTCAAGTCGTGTCTTTCTTCCTTGTAGGCATCTGGTGCATGCAAATTCTTTATGTGGCATGATGATCAAATGCCTGAGCAACCAAGGAGGGTTATTTGTGGTCTCTTAAAGAAAGCTAACAAATTTGAAAGACAAAATGCTCGGTTGAAGTGGGTTGTGGCTCTACTGTTGCTTTACATAAGTTGTATTTGGCTTAAGGCTACCTAGTTTCCAGCAATTTGTTATGTATTAATGGATGGTTTAGGGTAGGTTTTTGTCACGATCCCAAATTCCCTCCGTAGGATGTCGTGATGGCACCTAGTCTCTAAGACTAGGTAAGCCTATCAATGCGGAATATAACTGAATACAAAACTGAAATTTAATCCCTAACAGTCGAATAAATAAAAATTGCAATTTAACAATTTCAACTCCCAAAACCCGGTAGGAATAAGTCATAAGCTTCTAAGAATTAATCATCGGTGTATCTATATATCAGGGTCTAAGGAAAATAAGGAAGCAACATAATAATGATAGAAAGGGACTCCGGAGTCTGCGGCCGCTGGCAGATATACCTCGAAGTCTCCGTACACAGGTAGCTCACTAATGTCTGGAGTCTGGACTGGTAGGATGTACCTGGATCTGCATAAAAAGATGTACAAAAGCGTAGTATGAGTACACCACAGCGGTACCCAGTAAGTGCCAAGCCTATCCTCGGTAGAGTAGTGACGAGGTCAGGTCAGGCCCTACTAGAATAATAAAAGACATGGTGATATGTTTACCAATATAATAACAATAAATGACAATAAAAATGAATCAAGTAGTATGTCACCATTAAATTGCACAAAATAAGGGCAAATAATACCTCGTGGAAAGGAAACAGAAATTTACAGCTTTAAGAGAAATTACGACAATAAATCAAGGGCAAATGCAGCCATAAATAAATATCAACAAGGGCACTCCCGAGGTACCGCCTCGTAGTCCCAAATCATAAATAAATTCACAATATCTCATTTCCTTATATCACCGCGGGAGCCTTCACATTTAATTTTAAAGAAAAAAATATTTTTTCCGAAATAGCATCCCGCGTTTTAGCCACCCTTATCACACCGCATGACTTCTAGTAGTTTCCCTACTAGCCACGCGTATCAAGCCACCCTTGTCTAACCGCATGCGTTTCAACACCCAGACCTTATACCACCGCATGCGTATCAATATTACAATATATCACAATTTGCACCTCAAGTGCCCAAATAATTCAATTTGCCAAAATAAACAACATCAACAATACTTTCCACAACATGGAGCTCACGGCTCAATCACGATGAGTACAAAATCTCACAAAATATTCAGGAATAAATAACTCAGCAAAAATAATATTTAAATATTTCTAATACGTTGCCTCAGTTCAAAATTTAAAATATCAAATACTTCATATTAATAATATTTAAATTAAAAAAATTCCACCTTCAAATAATACACAGAATAAAAGAAATCAAGTTTCAGCTAAACATGTAAAAACAATTAGCAAGAGAAAGTCAAGAAAATTTAAAGTATATAAATCAAATCAATGATGGAAAATATAATAAGATTTAATAATTTAATTAATATGCAACAGTGATCTACACAATTTAAAAACATAATCTTTCACATTTAGCCCGTGTACACACTCGTCACCTCGTATACACGACTTTCATCACATTACAAGTATCACATCAATGCCAATCCTAGGAAAAAATTTTTCCACACAAGATTAGACAAGTCACTTACCTCGACTTGCTCCAATTTAATCCACTATAGGCCTTTTTGTAATGACCTGGCCGGTCGTTTCGAGAGTTATAGCCCCATTTTCCCCATTTCTACTTCTTTTTGTGTTATTCAGCTATATTATGTTATATCGGGTTAGTTGGTTCGGGTCCGGGAGAAACTCGGAGTGAAATGAGACACTTAGTCTCATAATTGAAAAATTGAGTTAGAAAAGTGGACCAGATATGGACCTATGTGTGAACGATCTCGGATTCAAATTCTGATAATTCCAATAGCTCCGTGTGGTGATTTTGGACTTAGGAGCGTGTCCGGAATATTATTTGGAGGTCCGTAGAGGAATTAGGCTTGAAATGCCAAAAGTTTAATTTTTAGAAGTATGACCGAGGGGTTGACTTTTTAATATCGGGGTCGGAATCCGATTCTGAAAATTGGAATACTCTGTTATGTTATTTATGACTTGTATGCAAAATTTGAGGTCAATCGGACTTGATTTGCTAGGTTTCGGCATCGAATGTAGAATGTTCCGACGTCGTTTCTTCGAGAATAAGTGGTATCACATTAATCAAATGAGTTCCAAATTAATATTTGATTGAATAATTAGATCCGTATTGAAATTTCGGATCCATACCAAAAAGAATTGTCGAATTCGGACATCATATGAGAGAGTTATGCCCATTTCCGTATCGGAAAAGATTTCCCGTCGCCGCGAGCGCCCAGGGTAGCGTGGGGCGCTATCCCTGGCGCTGGGATATTTAAGGGTACTGGAAATAGCGCCACAGGCAGCGCCCCACGCTACCTGTGACGCTCGAAAACGTCAGAGGCTCTATAAACGGGTCTTTTGGCCTTTTTTGACATAAGAATAGTTGGGGAGCTCGAATTGGGCGATTTTCAGAGGCGAACTTCACAAATTGGACTGGGTAAGTGATCTTAAC